ATATAGAATATATAAAGAGCAAAATAGAACAGAGATACATAAGTAGGGAGACATTTGAATACTTTGTCAAGCTACATATTGTTTTAACAATATTTCAATCTAAATGCTATTGATTTCATGTATTCCAAGGGTTCATCTTATAGTTTGTTGAAAGGAAACTATGTGTTGTTATCTGTCGGCTCCCTTTTTTTTTTTTTTTTTTGGCTCCCTTTTTTATAAGAATGTTTTCAGTTTATATCTTCCATTCTGAGTAACCACTTTCAAGATAACCATGCATAGTGTGATAACTATTGTGATTCTTTTGTTCTTTGGTTAGGAAAATTTGTTTTGCTGTTTCATAAGACAAACAAGAAAAAAAGTGTGATTTGTGGTTTGAAGAAAAAAAACAATCTACAAAAAACCCCAGCACTTTGGTTTCGTCTGCAGAATCTAACACGAAAGATGAAGGGCTGGGTGTGGCAGTGGCTGGGAGCTCGGTTAGCAGGGCCTGGGCTTCACCCCCAGCACCGGAAAGAGGCGTAGGGAGCCGGTGGAGCGGGAGATTGATCAGAGGTGCGGCAGAGGCACGGCCAGCCCTGAACACGGGGCCCAGAACAAGCTACGTAAACCAGCTGTTCCAGCACCAAGAAGCCAGGGCGCAGGGCAGCCAGGCACACAAGCTGCTGGGCAGCGGGACTGACGTTGATATAAGCTCCTGAGTGTGTAAATAAACGCACCGCAGTGGTTGACATGACCCCTGCTTTGTCTCTCTTTTATTTCCTCATCCTCTCATGGTCCTTCACCCCAAGAACCTCAGGAGCTGTGTGGATCCCGGCAGAGAGAGAGAGAGAGAGAGAGAGAGAGAGAGAGAGAGAGAGAGAGAGAGAGAGAGAAGAGAGACTCTGCTTCTGTCTCTCTCTTTGCCTCTGTCTCTCTGTCTCTGTCTCTGTCTGTTGTTCTGTCTCTGTCTATATCTGTTTCTGTCTTTTTCTCTGTCTCTGTCTCTGTTTCTCTCTCTGCCTCTGTCTCTCTCGGTCTCTCTGTCTCTGTCTCTCTATCTCTCTGTCTCTCTCTGTCTCTGTCTCTCTCTCTGCCTCTGTCTCTCTGTCTCTCTCTGTCTCTCTCTCTGTCTCTTTGCCTCTGTCTCTCTCTGTCTGTCTCTCTCTCTGTCTCTATCTCTCTGTCTCTGTCTCTCTCTGTCTCTCTCAGTCTCTCTCTGTCTCTGTCTCTCACTCTCCTGCTGTAGATGAAACCCAGAGCCTCACCTCTGCTGGGCAAACACGGTACCACCAGGCCACAGCCCAGCCTCCATATTTAATGGGGGAAGAAATCCCTCTCTTGGGAGAAGCGTCTCCAAGAGCAAAGGCCTGGGTTGCTGTCCCATTTGCTCATGGGGTGAGGGCCAGTTTTTACGGGTGAACACCTGGGTCCCAGCTTCAGCAAAGCTGGAATTGTAAGCTGTAGACACTGAGGCAGCGCCATGCGATGCTAATGAGCACATACGTAAATGAATAAGGTAGATGTTTCCAGAGGGAAGCAGGTGAACCTATCCTCACACAGTTACCTTCCAAAGAAGAATAAACCCATGCTGGACACTGAGCTGAACCAGTGCCCTACGCCCCGAGCGGCCCTCCACCCCAGCCCTGCTGCTGCAGAGAAACCCCAGAGGAAAGGAAACCTCTCCACACCAGGGAGCGTGGAAGGCAACGATTCCTCACGTTAGCGGGCTGGTGGGCCTCAGTTCCCGATCGTCAGCTTAGCGTTCGGTTTACATACATTTTGCAGACATGCAGGACAAGGCTGAGGGCAGTTACTCCGTGACCGGTTACAGGAATTCAGTCATAGGTGGTTACGCAGACTGGCTTTTAATAAAAGTAGACTGAACGTGGAATTGTTCACCAGGAGTCAGGAGCATTCTGGGGAGGCGGGAAGGAGTGTGAGTGGGACAAGCACAGATCCGTGTGTCCATGGCTGGGTCAGTCTGTCCCAGATGTGAAGTCTTTGAAGCAAGCTGAAAACTACACATGTTTTTCTAAGTAGGGAAGAACGAAAGCATGACCGCTGGACGTGGTCGGTGGACCTCGTGTGCTATCAGGGAGGAGCAGCTGGGTGCAGATAACCCAGGCTCACTGAGCGTAGCGGGCTGGGCAGGTGACAGGCAGTGTGGGCGTCATCACAGGCCACAACCTGGTGTCTGCCTGCTGCTGTGCAACGTCCGTAACTCTGCCCTCATGCTGCTTCCCTTTCTTCTCCCTGGGGACACCCGAAACCCCGTCTTTTAGTGTCCCCCCAGGTGCAGGGCCCTGTCACGAAGCACAGCTCCCAAGGACGTCAGCTCTCTGCACTGGTTCCTGCCCGTATCTGCTGCTCGGGGCTCTGAGGCCCACATCCCCCCGTTTCTTCCCCACCTCTTTCTCCTCTGTCATAACCATACCACGCCCTACCTCTGTATATTTCCCCCCTTTTTTTTAGGTTCCACATATGCATGAGATCGTGTGAGATTTGTTTTTGGGTTATTTCATTTGGCATAATGTCCTTGAGTTTCTTGTGTTATGGCAAATGGCAGAACCTCTTTCATTGGTAAAGCGGAAAAATATTCCACTATGTGGGTGTCTGTTTATGTGCAATGCCGTGGTTTCTTCTTTTTTTTTTTTTTTATTAGTACATGTTTGTACACATCCCTTGACTGGAGTTATTCCGTGTGATATTTTAGTTCTGTCTCCTTCCTCTCCCTCTTCTGTCCACTCCTCTATCTCTAGACTCTCTTCCTCTTTGCAAAGGGTCTGTTGCCCTGTTTCTCACGATCACTATTTTTCTCTTTGCATTATTTACACTTTGAGCTTCTCGTACAAGACAAACCATGTGATGCTTAAGCTCCCGTGTCTGGTTTATTTCACTCACAATGATGGTCTCAAACCCCATCCATTTCTCTACACCTGACTCGAGGTTGTCTTTTTTATGGCACAGTAGTACTCCACTGTGTGATACACATCTTCCTTCCCCACGCACTGGTGGGTGGACAGACAGGCTGCTCCCAAGGCTTAGTTGTGCTGCTGTAAACACAGGTATGCGTGGATGACTGTCAATAATGTCTTTCACCCTTTTGGAAAAGAAGAGAAGTCGCTGGGTCTTGCAGGACTTCCAGCTCCAGTTTTTAAATTGCCGAGCCTGTTTCCATAGTGACCACAGCATACTTCTCTTTGTCTGCCGTGGACACACGGGGTTACAGCGTGGATCTCTAACGCTGCCCCAGGGCTCAGGTGTCGAAGGGTTTCCTGGTTCACACTGCGGTCCTGTGTTAGTCTCTTTGCAAACCTCCACATCACCTTCCACAATGGCTGCTTGAAGCTGCCTCCTGGGCACGGTGTGTGGTTTCTGTTTATTCACATCCTTGCAACGCATATCTCTTGCTTATTTATTTTTATCTGTGTATTTATTTTTTGTGACACTGGGGGTCGAATCCGGTGCTGCTGGACGACTAACCTACATCCCCAGCCTATTTGATTTTATGGTTTGAGACGGGGTCTTGCTAAGTTTCTTAGGCTGGCCTTGAACTTGGGATCCTCCTACTTTAACTTCCCGAATAGCTGGGATTACAGGCATGTGCCGCCCTCAGCTTACAAAGCTCGTTTCTAGGGTGGGGCTTCAGCTCAGCGGCATGAGCTCTTGCCTGGCAAGTGTGAGGTCATGACTTTGATAACCTTACCAGGAAGAAAAGAGCTCATCTCTGTCTCTGTCTCTGTCTCTGTCTCTGTCTCTCTCTTCCTGTCTTGTACATGTCAGTCTGTCTTTCTACAATCGAGCTGCATCTCAGCCTTCTCACCTTTTTTAGACTCTCCGTCCTAACAGGTGTGAGGTCATGCCTCATCATGGTTCTCATAGCAAATTTAGAATTTCCTGTGAGCCTGCTTGTCAATCTTTTGTTTCCCCCTCTTGTGGAGGGTCAGCTTGAATATGCTTTCAGCTCTGCAGGCCACACTGAGCTGGCTGTGATCACATGTCCCTCTGTTTGTAGACTCGAAGGAGCTGTAGACAGGATGTAAATGAGTGATCAGACTGGGTCTCAATAAAGCTTTATTTATAAAAACAGGCTGCAGCTGGATTTGTGAAGCTTTCTATTGTTTTCTGACCCCCGTGTCGGAAGACTCCAGAATCACTTGGCGTTTGGACAGCAGGTTGCACGCGGGTGGGCGCCCAGGACCCTGTCTGTGGACCATCTCAGAGCGTGTGGTCCTTTGTGCCTTCCTGTTTGGTGACTTGCTTTGCCGTTCCCATGGACAAAGCCATGCTTATGGCTGCACCAAAGGCAAGCAACGCTGGGTCTATGTTAGTTACTCTTTAATAAGGGCTTTCAACCAGATCAGAGGTGACAGCGAGGTTGGCTAGAGTGTCCTTCCTAGGGTGTATGACGCACTTGGTGCCAACATCAGCACAACCAACAAACAAAAGCCTTTAAAAGCATCTCATTCGCAGGAAGGCCGTGCCTAGGCCAAAAGACTGCTGTCTGCTTCCAGGCTTCTGAGAGGAGAAAATGTGGAGGCCGTAGCTGAGCTCAGGAGGAGAGTTGTGATCGATTAGTTATGGCTGCCATGTGCGCCAGGGTAGAAGTAAGGACATGCTTGCTACATATTTGCCTTCCTGTAACTGGCTAACCTCCACCATCCCTTGTAGATTTCCTCTCTCCTGTCTTAGCCTCCAGAGTAATTCCTGAACTGGAATTACAGATGTGTGTCACTGCACCCCATTCACCTTGTAGGGTTGCTGAGGAATGGTGCTCTGGGTGCTTCTTTGGGAACATTCCAGAGCTGTATCAAGCATGCAAAATGTAGTCATTAGGTATAGGAGCGTGGTCTGTATTTTTAAACATTCCGGACACACCTGCTGTTATGAAAGAGACAGCACGAGTCTCTTGATGCACCCAAAGAAATCAAAGAGAAATGGAGAGAAAGAAATCAAACCCAAAGGTCCTTTCCCATCAGCCTCTTGGCTTCTACACAGAATGAAGATTCCGACCCACTGCAAAGTATTATAACATTTTACTGGACACTTTATCATCATTTGGGTGATATTCTCTTGGCCTCCAGACGTGGTCTTTTCCAGCATCTCATTCTGGGTAAGGAACAACTCAAAGGATGCTAGAGAAGGCTTTTTGGGATAAGTAGGGGATGGAGACATGGGGAGAGGATAAGGAGAGAGGGGGCCCCCTTCATTTGGGGCAACGCTGATTGCAGACGCATAGCCCAGGTGAGGAAGAGGACGCAGACCTGCGGTCAGGGTGGAGGAGCCTGGGAAGAGCTTCGCTGGGCGCTGGTGCCGAGTGGGGTCAGCAGGTGGGAGACATCAGGAGTGGAGTCTGGCCTTGGTCTCTAAAGGACAGCGCTCCTGTGTCTTCTGGACCATTCCGGGGAGGTTTCTCTTTTAGACGGCGTGAAGGACAGATGAAGCCCCGTGAGAGGAGAAGGCAGAGAGGCGGGAAGGATGCTAGCTGCCCAGATAAAGAGCCGAGAAGGTGGAGACTGACCCTGAAGGGGGATGAGGGGGAGGGAAGGAGGTTTGACATCAGGGGGGCTGGCGTGGTGGCCGGTGGTCCAGGAGGCACAGAAAAAGACAGGGGACACAGATGACTTCAGAGGTAACAGCCTGGGGTCTGAGGGTGAGGATTCCAGGGAGTTCTTGGAGGAAGGACCAGGAGAAAAAGATGCTTTAGCAATGAATTTTCAAAGATGGTGGATACACCCACAGAGCAGGCCTCGGAACTTGCAAAAACACACAGCTGGTCCAACCTCCAGCCCAGGGCTGAAATGCCACAGGCGTGACCTCAGCTGGCAGGTTTGGAGAATTTCTAGGAGCCTTCCGAAGAGCTCCTCCCTGCAGCAGAGGGACGACACTCCCTGGGTGACTCTGATTAGGAAACTTCTGATAGATCAAGACTTAGCAGATTGTGAAAAGGGGGCTGAGATACAAATCAGAACTCAGCTCTGCCTCTGTGTGTGTCAGATCCTGTGTGGCAACTGCCATGTTACTGAACCTCTCTGGGCCTCTGTTACTCTGCTGTGTAGGCCCGCAGGGTGGGTGGGCTCTGATTAGAGCGGCTGAAAGTTAAAACAGAGAAGTGGATGAGCAGATTCCCTTGGAGAGAGGGCAGAGTCCAGGAACTTAAGGAAAAAACATCAGGAGGAAGGGAACGGGGAAAGCAAGAGGCAGCTGTATTACTCAGAGAAAAAGCCCGTGAGTCACCCTCGGGGGATGCGTAGAGGCACTAACTTGCTAGCCAGGGAGGCAGGTTTGGGAGAGTAATTTATGCCTCTCGGAGATTTCAGGGTTTAGGAGGGAATCCCTGGGAGATGGGATCAGAGGAAATCTTGAGCTTAACTAGTTGGTTGTGTATGAACATGTGTCACACGAGGAAGAGACAGATCTCAGTTGGGTACAAACGCATAAAGCAGAAGCGGGTGCCCTGAGGTTGGGTTAATGGAGGTAGAGAGTCCAGCCAGAGGGAGGTGATGTTCATGTTACCTTCGTGTCAGGTGCTCAGCTTTGGCTGGACTGTTCCAAGAAGGACACAGATGGGGGTGAAGAAAGATTGGGAGGAGGAGATTTTGAGGAAGGGGGGAGCCGCCCTGTGAATATCTGTGGGGCCAAGAGAGTACTTGCAGGAGAGGTTCTCCCCGGGTTCTCTGCTTTTATTGCAGGTAGAGCTTCTTCCGGAGGGTGCTCTGGATTTCGGGATTCACTTTCCTCAGTCTCCCTTCATGAAGGAGCTCTTCCTCTGCCATAAGCCGGGTCACCTACAGCAATGGGCATGGTCAGCTCTGGGACCAGCCCCTGGGGGGTCGGCATCATGAGCTTAGGGGGAGAACGTTAGAGAACAGGACAGGTAGGTACCCATGGCTTAAAACAAAAGACCTTTGCTGTCCCCTTCTGTTCCATATTTGTGTGGAATTGTTGGTTGAATCTTTTTTTTTTTTTTATTTTGGATGTACTGAAAATGGAACCCAGGGTTTTCACACTGAGCTATATAACTCCAGTTTTTTAGTTTTTAATGTCTGGGTTGACTTCAAACTTGCAATCCTCCTGCCTCAGCCTCCTGACAGCTGGTTATCGTGTCTGGTTGGAATATATATATATATATATATATATATATATATATATATATATATAAATCTGCAACACAACACATCACCATTAGAAGAAAAAAATGTCTGGCCATTCATTGAATATGAAAGAATTGTTCAGGAAAGGTTTCCTGCCTGGGGAAACTTCTGGCTGGCATAAAGACACCCTAGTTTCCATGTTGGGGTTTGGGGGTGGGGAGATGGAGGAAGACCAACCGGGGAGGGGGCTCCAGAGAGCTCCTCACAACCCACCTCGGTCAGGAGCTCCAGGATGGAGCCGAGCCTGTCTCTGAACACCTTCACCAGTGTCTGGATGAAGCAGGAGCCATCTTCTTCTTGTCTGTAGGAAATGAACCCTGGGGGTACAGAGGGGTGAGCTGGGGTGCAGGGCTCAGAGGGCGAGGAGAGGGGCTCCCGTGGACCAGCGGGGCGCCCCTACCCTCCACGGTGGAGTACACGTGGAGAAAGTCCGTGTACGTCGGGATGGTGTAGGGACCGTCATTGGTGATCAACGTCACTTCATCTCCTCCTACGGTTTCTCCGAGGTCCTTGTGCACTGAGGGGCCAGGAGGAGGACAGGGCAGCGTCAGAGGGGTGGCGGCCGGGCAGGGTCGGGCTGGGTGAAGGGCGGTGGCCCCGGTCCCCTGGCCTGCCCCACCTCCTCGGCAGGCCTGCACGATGAACACTTTGGGCTTGGCCCTCAGGGCCTTGCAGTTTTTGTTGTTGAGGACCTGGAAGAGGTCATCCAGCTGGACGGTCTCCCCGTCTTCGCCCATGAGGATGCCTTCGTCCCCGTGGGCCATGAGCACCACGAAGGCACAGCTCACCGGCTCTTCCCAACTGTCTATGACCTGCTGGAACTTTTCCATCTCGTCCTGGAATTGCTAGAGGGAGAGTCCACCCTGCTCAGAGGCGGGAGGCGGGAGCTCCCGGTCTGGGGCTGGCGGCCACATACCTGGGCGGTGGGGTCTCTCTTCATGGTGCTGTTGAACCGCAGGTGATCGAACATGCTCTTTAGGGCGTCCAGGTCTGCCTCGGAGCCCTTGCGGGCCTTGGTGACACACAGTGTCAGGGCTAGGCGGGCGCCCGACATGTCGTACGCCTCCTGGCCAAGGGGGGGCAGAGACGGCGCGAGGAAGGAGGTCAGGGATGTGCAGAGGGGGCACTAGAAAAGGGCCTGGGGCCACCGGGCCGGGTAAAATCCATGGTGCCTGGTGACACACAGGAAGATGGTGCAGGATGTACTTGCCCTGCAAGTTCACTGTTGTGAAATTCAAGCTCGGTTCAGAGATTCTGTTTTTATTTGCCTGATCTGGCAGTGGAATCTGAGATCTGATTGGCTTTCTGCAAGATTCGTTAGGTCTGCCTTTACGTGGGCCCCAGCTTCTAAATTCACACGAGTGTGTGTGTGTGTGTGTGTGTGTGTGTGTGTGTGTGTGCATCTCTGTGGGTGTCATTTTGAAGGCTCTTTCCTGTTGTCCCATCCGATGGCTTTTCCCTCTCTCCCCATCCTTCTTAAGAGTGTTCTGAGCAATTGTCTGTCACTTCCTCACCTGCAAAAGCCTCCAAATTTTGGAAGCTAAGGCTGACATCCTATCCTTATTCCAAGCGAGGGAGAAAGATTTGGGTCAGTAATTCTTTTTGGTGAGAAGCAAGGTACTGAGTCCATAGTGATTTTGGGGACAGGTGTAGCTCCCTTCCGTCCAGTTTGGAATCTATTTCTATCTTTACCCATCTAGGAATCTATTTCTATCTTGTGGAAGATCACAAAATGCTTTCTAGCTCTGAGTGTGGTTCATTCTCTTTTCTTTCTTTTAAATTTTATTTTATTTTGAAGAGAATAAAACCAAATGAGACGAAGCAGAACAGAGTCAGTCAAAACAAAAGGGCGGACATAGTACATGACTTAAAAACCAAATACAAGGAGATCACCAATGGCTCGCATGATGCCTCTTATCTTCAAAAGAATTGCCCACATCATCAGGCATAATAAAAGTGAGCATAGCCGTACAGAACAAAACCAATAAAAACAAAACATTGGAGACATTACAGGACCTCAAAAGAAGATAACAGTCAAACCACAGGGGGTATCGTAGTGCATTATCTTTTCTTTTTTTTACTCTTTTTGGAGGATTAAGTCCTCACCTCCCACCTCCCCAGGTCTCTCTGCCCCCACCAACCTACCTCTTCCAAAGGCTTAGGCTCACTCATTTCTTTTGATTCTGGGTTCAGCTCTCCGAAATATTTTCTGATCCTGAGTAGCGAAAGAAGACAGGTTGACAGTCTCCCACGGAGGGAGGGGGTCAAGGGACACAGAGATTTGTCCATCTGGGTTTTTGAGACTCAGTAAGGTAGCCCTGGTTGTCATCTGGTCTATGGCCAGACCTGGGGAGAGACGACAGTCCATGGTGCATGTCCACCCTGGACTGAGAACCTGAGAGTCTTCCACCCACCGAGGCCCTCAAAATGCCATCCCTGCCCCCTAGGGAGCCCCTCCCCTGCCTCAGGACACCCAACTTCCTGCTGAAGGCCCTGGGTGGCCAGGGGCCCAGGGGCCCATTTGCTCCCCACTTCTACTCAGGAGGTTGTGCTCTGGCTACACAGAAGACTTGGGGCACACTCTGGCATTTTGCTTTCTCCTTTTATTTGGCCTTGTTTATCACTCCTTTGTTAGACTGCAATTACCAGAAAAGACCCCTTCTGATGAGAGGGGTGGAGTAATGTCTGCCATCCCTTCTCCATCTGTTCTTGACCCCACTCACCCAAACATGCATCCATATACCCATTACTCTTCTCTTTACCCACCCATCTATGCATGCATCTATCATCCATCCATCCATCCATCCACCCACCTATCCACCCATCCACCCACTCATCCACCCACCTATCCATCCATCCATCCATCCACCCACTCACCCATCATCCACCCACCTATCCATCCACCCATGCACACATCCACCCACCCATCCATCCATCCATCCCTCTACCCATCCACCCACTCACCCACCCATCCATCCATCCATCCCTCCACCCATCCACCCACTCACCCACCCATCCATCCATCCATCCCTCCACCCATCCACCCACTCACCCATCCGTCCATCCGTCCATCCATCCATCCATCCATCCATCCATCCATCCATCCATCCATTCACCCACCTATTCATCCATCCATCAATTCATCCACCCACATATCCATCCATTTATCCATCTACCCACCCATCCATCCACCAACCTCTCTAGCTCACATCTCCTGGGCAACTATTATTTGTTAAATACTGGGAACATACTATATAGGATAGTCTTCTTGTTCATGTGTAGCTTTAGTGTATGGCACAAATGAACATCATATCTTTCTCTCTCTCTCTCTCTCTCTCTCTCTCTCTCTCCCTCTCTCTCTGTCTCTCCCTCTCTGTGTGTCTCTGTCTCTCCCTCTCTCTGTTTCTCTGTCTGTCTCTAGCTCTCTCTCCTTCTCTCTCTGTCTGTTTCTCCCCTCTGTCTGTCTGTCTCTCTCTGCCTTTCTGTCTTTCTGTCTCTCTCCCTGTCTTTCTGTCTGTCTCTCTCTTTCCCTCTCTGTCTCTCTGTTTCTGTGTCTCTGCCTCTGTCTGTCTCTCTCTCCCTCTATCTCTGTCTGTCTCTCTCTCTTTGTCTGTGTCTCTGTCTCTCCTTCTCTGTCTCTCTGTCTGTCTGACTCTGTGTGTCTCCCTCTGTCTGTCTGTCTGTCTGTCTGTCTCTGTCTCTCTCACTCTGTCTGTCTCTCTGTCCTCCCTCTCTGTCTGTCTCTCCCTCTTTCTCTGTCTCTTCCTCTCTGTGTGTCTCTCTCTCCCTCTGTCTGTCTGTCTGTTTCTCTCTGTCTGTCTGTGTCTCTCTCTGTGCACGCCGCAGGGAGAGGCACAGAAGTGAGGCGGCCACGTCACTCACCGGCTGTAGCCGCACCTGCTCCTCCAGGCCGGGCCGAGTCCTCCAGCTCTGTCTCCTTGTCTCCTGCTGACCTGGGGCTGGGCTTCCAGGGGGAGCGGAGCCCACGTGCTGACCCTGGACAAGAGGCTGGCGCGCTGGACCTGCCAGCTTCTCGGGAGGCCTGGCTGGGAGGCTGCCCGGCCCTGCCTCCCTCCCTTTTATGGCCCGCGAATCTCCTGTCACTCAGGAACCTCGGATGAGCGCGACACTCCCTCCCTTGGCACAGCCTGGGTGTAGAAACAGTCAGACGCCCATAGGATGAGTGACAGCCGGCTCGGCGACACCCCTTGGCTGCCAGAGCTCAGAACCAAGTCAGCTGAGCGCTGAGCCAAAGCAACCCCGGGGCCCTGCCCCGCGGGGCCAGCTCCGCACCCAGCACCCTGTGCAGCCGGGCCTGTTCACCCTTTGCCTTCCCCAGGGAAGATGACACCGGCTCCCTTTGCTCATCACCGCCTCACGTCCTGGGGAGCCCCGAGGGGCCTCCACTGTCCCTCCCACTAGGCAAAGGAGGAACCCGAGGTCCGTGTGGGGAAATCAAGCGACTTCTCAGGGTCACCCCGCTGGGGACTGGGACAGCGGGCATCTGGACCAGAAAGGCCCAACCGTCTGATGGGGCCGCTTCCAGTGAGGCTGTGGCCCCCCAGCCCCTCTTTTCTCCTGGCCTCTCTCCTTTCTTCTTTCTCAGACTTTTGTTTTGTGGTTTTAAAAAAAAATTTTGCACCAACAGCCTGGATGAGATAATATTCACGCGCCCCATGGCTCCATCTCCAAGGTCCCATTTGATGGCTTAGGATTTTCATGGAGGGGCACGACTCCTCAGCGCAATCCGTTTAGAACATTCTCCTCACCCCAGAAAGGAACCCTGCATCCCTTCGCCATGACCCCCAAGCCGTCTCAGCCTCAGGCTGCCACCAAACCAACTTCTGCCTTACAGATTTCTTCTTCTGGATGTTTCACGGAGACAGAATATGTGTCCTTTATACCTGGGGTTCTTTTGTGATTGCAGGGACTCGCTCTCCAGTCCTGGCTGGCTTTGAACTCACTGTGTAGCCCAGCGTGGTCTAGAACCCATGGGCACTCTCCTGCCTCAGCCTCCTGAGGGCCAGGGTCACAGGTGCGCGTCACCACGCCCAGCTGTGTCTGGCTTCTGATATCTGCTCTGACACACTCCTGTCTGTGAGTGTTTGTGTGAACATGTGTTTTCGTTCCATTGCTTGGGTGGAATATTCAAACAGGACAGACGTTTTAAGCACCCCCATTCCTCCAGCCCTTCTCTTTGCTCGGAAAAACCCAGACCCAAGACTGTGAATTCCCTGTTTTCATCTTGGGAGTTGATTTGTGCATCATCAGCTGTTGGTTGCAAATGTGGGCTCATTTTACCAAACTGTTCTATCGTTTATTTTATTCACCTAGTTTTAAGCCTGATCATCATCCCACATGGGGTCCAAGGGAACAAAATCCCATTTTGTGTTCTTTAAGAAAACTTGGAGGTGGGCGTGGTGGTGCTGTGATCCAGCCACGCAGGAGGCTGAGGCAGGAAGTATCGAATTTGTGTCCTGTCTGGGCAGCTTTATGAGCCTGGGTCTCAAGATTAAAAAATAAAAAGGGTAAGGGATGCGGTTCAGAGTAGGGTATTGCGGGGTTCAGTGCCGGTACCACAAAAACAACAACAATAAAAACTCCAAACATTTCATTGAAAAAATACCTACAGATAACAGCGCGAAACTTTCTTTTCAGTAAACTTAGAAGAAGGAGCAGTACCCATGAAACAAGTTAGCATCTACCTTTTTCCAGCAATTGAGTAGAGAATTTGGGGAGTTATCTAAATTTCTTCAATATTTCCTGTTTCTCTATTTTTTTGCCCAGGACTTGTACTCTGAGTAACATTCTTTTAACATCATGCTACAGTGTTTTAGCTGTTTCCATTCTCAATTTTGTTACGACACTTTGTTTTGTTTTTAACAGACAATTTGCGTGCATCAAAGTGCACACGCCTTCAGTGTGTGGCTCCATGAATTCTCACCAAATGCACGCATCCGGCCAGTGCCTGCCCGGGGAGAGCTGCACCACCCCGTGCCCTGAATGTCCTCTCTTTCCGTTCCCTGCTGGCCACGGCCTTCTCTAAACGCCTTCCTACGGGGCGGACCTCGTGATCGTACGCTGAAGGGAAATCAGTCAGACACACGCGTGCAGACACCACGGAGTCTCACTGGTGTGAGAAGCGGAAAGCGTAAATAAGAACCAAATTGTGCAAGAGACACAGGGAGATGGGAAGAAATGCTCGGAAAGGAAGGGTGCCTGCAAGACGTAACACAGAAACCATGTTCCTTTTCTGTTAGCGGGTTCTAAATACCCTGTAATGCTTCCATTCTCTTGAAAGGCTTCACACTGTCTTGATATGTTTGATGCTATAGTATACGGAGTTATACTCAAATATTTCAAGGAAAGAGACACTATGGTGACTATTATTATGTAGATTATCTGGTGGTGAAACACAATGATGCTTGAATTGCTCGGTTCTGCCCTGCATTGTTCTGCTACAATGTCCTCTCTTATCTCAATCTTCCCCCTATTTTTAAATTAATCTATTTTCTCTCATTTTTTTAATTAAGGGAAAACTAAATTAAAAAATAGCGGGATATATTATAGTAACTTTTTTGTTTTTCTATTAACCTGATTTGAACCCCTGTATTGCTCTCCCCATCTTGTTCTGTCTGGTTTTACTATATTTTTGATAATATCAAGTTTGAGGGTACAGGCAACCTCTTTGAAGGCAATAAGATTCACTAAGATGCCCATTATGGTTTGACTATTATCTTCTTCTGAAGTCCTGTAAGGTCTCCAGTGTAGGGTTTATTGGTCTTGTTCTGTACTGTTTTGTTCAATTCTATTATACCTGATGATATAGGCAACTCTTTATAAGATAACAAGAGGCACAATGGTAACCATTGTTGATCTCCTGGTATTCTGTTTTTGCATCATGTATTATGTCCATCCTTCTGTTCTAACTGACTCTGTTTTGCTCTGTCACATTTGGTTTTTTTTTCTCTTAAAAAAAAATGTTATAAGAACTGTGGGAGTAATAAAACCCAAAAAGTGTAATTGGTATTGTAAGAAAGAGAGGAAAAGAAAGTGGTCTGAAGGATATAACTGCATGTATATTTAAGTGTGTAGGGTAGAAAACCATATTACTGAGTTTTTGTTGGATCATTGAACAGAACTGTCTGCAATCTCACTGTATGAATGTCCACTTTGTATGCTTTAATTTTGTAATTTGGACAACTGTTCCTAAGATGACAGTATGTAATCTATTAACTAGTGATATCTTACTATTTATATTTTTATTTCTATTACTATTTATATTTCTTACTATGTATATTTTTTCCTTGAAATTCTGTATTACTTGTACCCTTTTACTGCTTTGTTTTGTTATTTGTCTGTGGCCATCGTGCACGCCTAGATTGTACCAATAAACTTAATTAAATAAAATAAGCACCATCCTAACACAAACACGATGGGTTTGTTTTTCCCTGGCTTTGGACTTCATATAGATGGAACCACACACTACGTTCTTTTGTGTCTGGCTGGGTCCGGGTACCATTATGCTTGTGAAATCCGTACTCTAGTTTTTTTAAAAAATCGAATTGTTTCATAGCAATGTTACTGGATTTTTCTTCATTGCCACCCACAAGCCATCGTAGAAGCACGGAATGTCACACCTACCCGCTCGTCTACGCGTGGGTCGGGCTGTCTGTGTATGCATTGTTACTCTGTCCTCTTGGTGATGTGTCATTCAGTCCATCTATTTCTTTCTGTCTTCTGTACCCATCTCTGTCTGTCCTCCACCCTCCTACCTTGCATATTCATATGCATTTTCCCTCCTCTTATCTCTGTGTGTCCGTATTTACATCTATGATTCCATCTGCACTGATAGCACCTCTGTACTGTTTGTGTATCTGCATATGTGTGCATCAGACACAGCAGCAGTGAGATGATGATTATTATTATTTGTTGGTACCAGGGATCGAACTCATGACCTCGCACTTGACAGGCAGGTGCTTGTGCCGCTGAGCTAAATCCCCCGCCTTGGAGGGAGAGTCTTTTTTACCCCTTCACATCAGCTTTCGGTATCTGTGGTGTGACCCCTCTGAGCATGCACGCTTTCTCTGGTTTTCTAGTGTCTGAACTTCCACAGTTAATTCAATGTGTTACCGACAGGCACTTGGGTTGTTTCTAGTTTTTATACCACGAGCTATGAATTTGTGCACATTTGATTCTTAAAAATTTTTATTAGTATGTAATGATTGCACTCACCTGAGGAAGTTGATACCTGTACATAACGCAATTTAATTTAACGTAACCGAAATCTTTGTAACGCACCCTTCCCGTTGCCCCCTTCTCCATCCTTCGGATCCTTTCTGATGTGCAGAAGATCTATCTCGCTGCATCCTGTTATGTAAATTTTGTTGAATGCATTCCTTGGGGTGAACATGTGTGGATTTCTCTTGGATACAGCTTTGTGAGTGGCACTGCTGGCTCACAGGCGACGTCGACACGGTTTGGGTGGCCACTGCCAAATGTTTGCCGAAGGGCTACTTCACAGTGGAGGTGGCAGGCATTTGTTCGGTCATTTCTCTGCTCACGGGCGCTTCAGGAGCTTCCAGTTTTCCTCCGTGAGTAACGCTGTGCGTCTGAATTCAGGCAGCAGAGGATCCTTTTGTGAAGGGGCAGTTTCCAGGTGAAGAATGACTGCTTTCCAGGGCTTGGACACTTGGGTTGTGTCACATGTGGAGTCAACCGCGGTAAACAAAGCTGGCATGATCTCCATCTTTGTGGAGACTACATGCTATGCTCAGGTCATCATCTCCTCCTCCTCCTCCTCCTCCTCCTCCTCCTCCTCCTCCTCCTCCTCCTCCATCACCACAGGGACTCACTGTCATGAGTGCTGTATTAATTACAGTCCTACCATATTTTCGTGCGTGCTAGGGTAGATTTGGGGGCTCCTGGACCGTGTGTGGGAAACACGTAGCTTATTATAGTGTATCTTGCGTGTCTCCTCACAGTGACCCAGGCTAAGGTCTTGCTGTTCCAGAAGAGGATGGAAGGCCCCACCCAGGAAGTCATGGAGTCCCCTGCAGAGGCTGCGGGTCCTGGCAGCACTTGGGGATTCCTGCTCTGGCTAGGGTGCAGGGTCACCTGTGTTTCCCAG